CAAGTGTAAACAGAATAGATCATTAAAGAATAAAAAATATGTAATAAAATAAAGTAGAAACAGAATAGATTATTGAACAATAAAAATATTTTACATAATTAAGTATAAACAAAGTAAATTAAATTATTAAACAATAAAAATATGTAATATAATTAAGTATAAACAGAATAGTTATTAAACAATAAAAATAGTAATATAATCAAGTGTAAACAGAATAAATTATTAAACAACAAAATATGAAATATAATTAAGTAGAAACAGAAGAGATTATTAAAGAATAAAAAATTTAATAGATTTAAGTAGAAACAGAATAATTAGTGAAATCTGAAATGTAAAACTGATGATATTGAATTATAAGTTCACGATATTAAACTACGAAGCCACGAGATAAAAATTTGAGTAACAAGATTAAAACGTAAGTTTACGAAATTAAAATCTGAGTGCTTGAAATTGAAATGTGAGCTCTCGAGATTAAAATGTGTCCCATCACCAAACGTATTCGTTCTTTCAGCTGTGGAGGCATTATAACCGTACAATCAATCCAACTTTTCCATTACAGTAGCCCAAGAGTTTGTGGTGGATGATACTGATTTGTTTCGAGACCTGTAGTTTACCACTTTTAAGTTATGGACGGCTAGCGCAGATAGCCCTCGAGTAGCTTTGCGCGAAATTGAACAAACAAACAAAATGAAAATGTGAGTTCATGAGATGATACCTTCCTGAGATTAAGATGCGAGATCACGAGATTAAAAAACGATAATCAGAGAAATAAAATTCACTAGTAGCATTAAATGTGTGAATGAAAATGAATACACGAGAAAATGAGAAAGACGAATTATAAGTAAAAATAATGGGTGATAACACATATTCACATCTTAAAGAACTTTTGTAGACACAACCTATAATCTAATCGATAGGAAAATTCCAAGAAAGCACATTACCCGGAACGTCAGAATAAAACATGGGAAGAGTCAGTCGTAAGTGAATAAAATTGTCTACAAATCAATAAAAATGTTTTAAAATATTATTCACAAATTGTACATAATAACAAGTTAAGTATTGTACATAAAAAATACAAATTATTTGCTGTGTACTTCAAAATCGCATTTTTACATATGTTTACTCCGTCATGCACACTTGAAATGTTACATTTTCCGACATGGCCTAATGATACATGGCCTCTCAATTGGGAATGCACGTGCCCCGGACCCCCCCCCCCCCGAAATTCCGACTTCTATGATTACCTCAGGTCACGTGTCACTGAAATCGAAAAATCTCACCACAAACAAGAGTAGACATTTATAAATTATAAACCTACTTACCACGAACAACTGCAACAAAAGCACCAACTCAGACAGCACCTCCTAGTGTCTTTAACCCGCCCGGTGCTGCTTATCAAGATACTTTCCGTTTCTTCCAATGACTTCTTTTTAGTCGGAACCGCTTTACTGTTTCGAGTCCAGATGGCGCTGCTACCACTACTGAACCCTTCAGGCAAACTGTTGTTATGATTTTCATTCCTACTGGTTGCCTTCGAGCTCGTGCCTGGAACATCCGCTTTATACAACGTTTCTAGCTTTTTGCAAGGAAAATCTGTTTTCTTAACACTACTGACACTATCCGAATTCTGAAGAACAGCAATTCTCGTGCAGGCAGTGTGGTTGGATGGGGATCCTGCTTCCTGCGTGTTGAGCCTATCTTGAGCAAAGGTCCCAACGTCGCCATTTTGTTGTTGAGGGATTGATGTTAGTTGCTTCTTGTCGTTAGCGGTGCTCTTTGTTAACTCGGTGGACACTTTGTCTTGGAATTTGATGGAAGTGGTCTCTACAATGTCATTAGAAGTTGTGCTAGATGAAGGTATAGGGGGCGATGATGTGCTGGTTTGTTGTTGAAGGATTAAGGTTAGTTGCTTCTTGTCGTTAGTGGTGCTCTTTGTTAACTCGGTGGACACTTTGTCTTGGAACTTGATGGAAGTGGTCTCTACAATGTCATTAGAAGTTGTGCTGGATGAAGATGTAGGGGGCGATGATGTGCTGGTTTGTTGTTGAAGGATTAAGGT